GGGCCCTGCCCCAGCTCCTGCCCCTGCCCCCGGCGCTCCGGGGGGTGCCCGAGGGGGTTCTGGGAGAGTCACTGAGCATCAGCTTGGGAGGCCACTGGCTGGAACTTCGGCACTACTGTCTTACTTGCTGCTGCTCCATTCCTGGCTTCCTTACATACCTGTGCTTTATCCAGTTGGTGAAATTTGATTCATAAAATCACATCAGTGGGAATCAGCTGTGTACTGAGCCTGCTGTATATTCCATCTTTTCCTCAGACTGTAAAAGAAAAGTTAATACCATAAATAATAATACCAATAAAAATGAATACCTTAAATAATACTAATACCTTAAAAGTTTGGAATTATCACAAGATGAACTAGTAAGCAGACACTGCAGAGAACTCCTTTCTGTAACAAGGAGTTAGGTTGGAAAGTTTTCTTCGATTCCTTGACTCACTAGGGTTTGGAACTCGGGAAGAAGTTCATTAATTTAAATTTCTAACAAATAGGTGCACACAATGTTTACAAAAGTGAATACCTGTTTTTTGTTTTTGTGTACTTTACTGTATTGAGACTGCTTAGATAGCACTGGTACTGACAATGGACAATTTTAAGTACAAAACCATTAATGACAGTTACATTATTATATGAAGCAGATGTACAAAATACTGGATGCTAATAAGTGTGAGTACTGTTGTCTGTTCATTAGGATAAAGGTTCTAGAGAACACAATGATTTATAAAAGCAATGTTTTTTTTCTAAATAGATAAAAAGTCACCTATTTTTTTTTTTTTTTAATATCATTGTTATAGGTTAGCCCTAGTAGGCAGCTAAGCACAGTGCAGGCACTTGCTCGCTCCCCCATGGTACTGTGACTGGTGAAAGAAGAAGAGTAAAAGCAGGAAAATTCATGGGTCAAGATAAAAATTCTTTAGTAAGAGAAATGGAAAAAAAAAGGAGAAGAAAACAGAGCAGGGGATGCAGGGACAACCACTCACCACCTCCCATGGGTATACCCTACCCCAGCAGCTTTCTGGGTGTGTCATTGTGTGGGATGGAACATCCCTTCGCTTAGTTTGTGTCATCCCCCATTGATGTTCCATCCCAGCCTCTTGTGTCCCTGCAGTCTGTTCAGTGGTGGGAGCCACAGTGATGAACAGAGGAGACCTGGACACTGCAAGTGCTGTTCAGCAGTAGCTAAAACATTACTGTCTTATCAGCATTGTTTTATTCACATCTAAATTAACACATAAAATTAACTCCATCTCAGCTAAACCCAGTGTAATAATGAAGCCTATGAAATGACTGCCAGAATACACCAGAAGAGTAATCTGTGCTGAGCCAGGGTACGGTGGAAATAGGTGAAACTAAGTACAGTAGAGTTTCTTGTATCTGATACTGTACATGTTTGGAGAAAGCATTTGGGACTGAATGTACCACTGACAGGATGTGGTATAAAGATGTTTGTGATTCAAAGGCAATATTATCTTAACCTCCTTTCTTCTCACGTCAAGGAAAGATATATGTCAACCTTACCTGTGCCAGGTGAAAATGAAAAGATGTCCTGGGCATGTGAGAAGTTTTCACTCAGTGGTGTAAAGAGTTAGATGTTTTACAGTGCCTAATAATAGTGGAGGGGGTTGTGTATATTGCTTATCAGTGATGTCTTCTTGAAAACAGTATTGTAATTATGGTTTATTAATCCAGTTTTGAAATTTTGGAATGGGCCAAAATGTAGAACCAAGGCATTACTTAATTACAGTTGCTTGCTTCAGGAGGCTTCTAAACTTTGTGCTGTAGAAACAACCTATGCCTACCTAGAGGACCCTGAAATGAAGTTTTATTTGATCCTTCTTATATTCTACCCCACTCACTCTTCCACCTTTGTTGAAAAAGCTTGGGAGATGGTAACAAGAAAAGATAGAATTTTTCTGTAACTTAGGAAAGCATAATGTGAACAAGAGTATGATATTTAAAAATTGTGGTTACAAGCCAAGATTTTTATGTGATTGGAAATAAGCTATTAAAGATGAAGGGGGAAGGACTGTGATAATTTCATAATCTGAAAAGATAAAGAAGTTGCAGTAGATCCTGTTCTAATGGTCTGTATAGTTTATTTCCGAGATCACCAGGTTAATCTCTTGTACTTTAAAGATTCTAGAGAAACAGTACTGATGCAGAAATACTCTGTATTGTAAAGGTTTAGTGACCTTGGTACAAAATTTTTACTTTTTTGATCTTTATTCCAGAGACAGAGGAGATTGATGAGGAAGTCTTCTCATGGCTGAAGTGTGCAAAGGGTCAGTCTCATGAACCGGAGAATCTTATGCCGACACAGATCATTCCTGGTACAGGTAATGCCTGAAACCTGAAAGGAAAAATTCCAAATTTTGTCTCGATTCTGAGCAACCAAGTGGAATGAAGCTGCACTGGGAAGTTCAGACTGGACATGAGGAATAAGTTCTTCACTGAGAGGATGGTTGGTCACATTCTCCAGGGGAATGGTTATGGCACCAAGACCATCAGCATTCAAGGATCATCTGGGCAACACTCTGTCGTGTGTCCTAGTGTTAGGTGATCATGTGAGGAGCGGGGAGATAGATTTGATGATGGGTACCTTGCAAGTTGAGATATTCTATGAGTCTCCTACAGTGGGAGGAACTTTGTTCCCCCAGTCCCTGCCTTGATGTTCAGGGCTTGACAGAGGTGGGAAGAGAGGATAACATTGAGTGAGGGGGAGGTGGAAATTGTTGCGTACCTCAGCTTTCTCCATGTCAGCTGTCACCAGCTCTGCTGTCTTATTGAGTGGGATGGAGGTACACGTGTTCTTTAATCTTGCTTTTCTGGGCACAGTACCTGTTGAAGTCCTTATTATTCTTTGCATCTCTTGCCAAATTCAGCTCTGACTATGCCTTAGTTTCCAGATCTTATCCCTCCACATCCAGATGAAGCTACTGTATTTTCAGGATACATGTTGCTGGTTCTACTGCCTGTGCACTTCCTTCACACATTTTTGTTTGACCAGGAGGTCCTTACTGGCTTGTGCTGTTCTCCTAGCTTCCTAGACTGATTTTTTTTTTTTTTTTACACATGAGAGTTGAGAGCTCATGCACTCTTAAGAAGAAAAAGAAGTTCTTAAAGGGCTGCAAGCTCTGTTCAGCTCCTTTGTCCCTGAGGGCCATTCCCCAGAGGATCCAATACAGTAATTCCTTAAGCAACTGAAAGTTTGCTCTACTAAAATTCAGCATTCTGGCTCTATGCTTCACCTGGCCCATGTGCCTGGCGACGGTGAATTGCATCAGGGCACAGTCACTGCAGCTCAGGCTGCCACTAATCTTGATGCCTCTGATTAGTTCTTCAGTGCTGGTGAGCAACAGGTCCAGTAATGCTTCTCTGGTCAGGCTGTCTGTCTCCCAAGGAATTATCCTCAAGGCACTCCAAAAGCCTCCTTGACTGCTTAGAGCTTGCTGTGCTGCTTTTCCAGCAGGTGTCAAGATAATTGAATTTCCCCCTCAGGACCAGAGCCTGTGAGCAGCATGATGGTTCCTGTAGTTAAAGAAAGAACACTTTCTCAGCAGGCTTCCCTTGGTCGGGCAGCATGTAATAAGCACCAACAGTGAGGTTTCCTTCATTGATTCGGCCCATAATTTTTACCCATAAGCTCTCAACCTGTTCATCACTGGGTTTCAAAGACAGCTCTTTGAAGGCAATCTGCTCTACATAGAGAGCAACCCTGCAGAACTCCAGCTGTGCGATTCGTCTCATCACAGTTCAGGGGTAGTGATTAGATTGTAGCTTTCTAGTTGCAGGAGGAGCTGAAAGATCACTGTGCTTCTTACCCATGCTGCATTTACTGGTGTAGAGAGACGCTTCAGGTTGGCTGTCAACCTTGTAACATTTTGAGGTGTTTAATAGGTGTTTTCCTGTTGGTTCCTAATACATCAGCAGCCCCTGGCTCTTCTCTGTTGCTCAAATCACCCATTCCCTTCCCCCACTAAATCTAGTTCAAAGCTGTCTGTACAAATCTGGCCAGCTTGCTGGCAGAGACTGTTTTGCCCTGCTTAGGCAGGTGAATCCCATCAGCTCCCAAGAGACGTGGCTTCTCAAAGATAGATTCGTGATCATAGAAGCCAAAACGAGACATGGAGCCAGGCATTCCATTTGTTACCTCCTTCTCTTATTGGGAGAATAGAAGAGAATGCCACCTGTGTTCTCGATCCTTTTAATGTTGCTCCAAGGGATATATGGTTTATTTCAATGATTCAAAGTTGCCTCGTTGCAGTATCATTGGACCTTACCTGGGTAGGAGCGGATGATAATCTGTAGGATTTTGCCAGGCTTGACAGCCTCTTGGTGACATCACAAAGCTCCAGTGTTAGCAGAGTTCTCCACACTATTTGGAGACAAATGTCTTGTAGCGTGTGATCTAAATTATACTTAGCAGTAATATTTAGAAAAAACAAACAAAAAGAAACAAACAAACAAACAAAAAACCAAAACAAACAAACAAAAAAAACCTCCAACAACAACAAAGTAACACCCTCTGATTACATATTATAGTTAAGGCCTTGTTTTTAGAGTTCTTTACATGTGACTTAATAAGATTTTCACTTTATTTCCAGCTCTTTACAATATTGGAGACATGGTTCATGCAGCACGAGGCAAGTGGGGTATCAAAGCCAACTGTCCGTGCATTAGCCGGCAGAGCAAATCCGTGCTGAGACCGGCCGTCACTAACGGAATGTCACAGGTATGCCATTTCAGGCTGAAATTACTGGCTTTGACATGACATTTTTAAGATCTTTAAAAAGTTAGATCCTTTAAACTAATCTATTGTGAAACACGAGCTTTATTTTCTCCATGTGTATTCTGAGTGTTTTAGTTCAGTGAAAATCTTCTGGGATGCTTTCTGGGGATGTGTGCTGCAGCTGTTACTTACCAAGTGCATATCTGGGCTAATACTTGTAACTTATACTTATGTAGGAGTTGGGTAGGAAGTAATTTGTGTTGATACCATATCTTAAAACAAACCCCACTATGAGTAGCTTGCAACATGTGCATTTATTTTGTTCCTGAATGCTCGTGCTGAATCTAGAGCAGTTCCATTACTGTTCCCACAAGTAGTCCTGTGGGGAAAAAAAAAAAAAAAAACCAAAAACCAATCCCTAGACTACAAGGTCTAATGTACTTGGAGAAGTTTGTACTCTGCTGTTACATAAGCATAAAGGATCTCTATCGTGTACCTGAAGCACACAAAACCTAATGCACTGGATAACTAAAATGTCTCCCAACTTGAACTCTTCCCTTTATTCAACATTTAGCAGCTGTTTATGTTTTTGTTTTAGCTTCCGACTGCAAATCCTAGTGCGCCAGTCTCTGGAAATGAGAGCACGTTTTCCACTGGGGCAGGGACAGCAGCAGGGACGCAACTAGAAATGGACACTGTTCCAAAATCTGAAGCAGCTGATAGTAGGATAGAAGAATCTGCAAAACCAGACCCATCACCAAGCAATAACACTGGTGACATGAAGACTACCAGACCCCTTTGTCCAGATGCAGCTCCATCCTCAGCCTTACACTGGCTCGCAGATCTAGCAACACAAAAAGCAAAAGAAGAAACAAAAGGTGAGTGGAAGACATGTGCTCTGGGGTTGGAATGAAAAGATAAATAATAATGTAGTGCTTGGTTGCTATTCTTCGTGAGAGTGCCTTGCCCAAACAGAGAAGAATATGCTCATTTTGCTTCCTTTTACTTCTTACAACCAGTTTTCTTTTACAGGCTTAGGGATATGCAGAGCTGGAAAGGCGATGATAACAGCTGAAGAGAAAAATACTGTCTTGTCACTTCTAGTTTCTTTCAGTGCCAGTTTTTGTTTATCTTCTAAGTACTAAGCAGCTGGTATCTCCATGTAAAATGATGGTAATTAATTTCAGATACAGCTTTGTCAGTTTGTTGCTATTGAAATAAATAAAGCTGGTTTGTGTGCTCTAAGAGTGCATTTCCAAAGAACTGGGAGAATAGATTACACGTGGAAGGTCGGATGAAAGCGTAGAACTTCCTTAATACTCAAGGGTTTGAGTGTGATTCTCAGTATGAAATAAAGGTTTAGAGAATACACCTCGCAGTTGTCAGGGGTGGCATGACTGACACAGTGTTTATTCCTGTTTGTATGTCTAGCAGGAGCCCCTTTGTATGGCAGTGTTAAATGTTCATGACTCTTTCACTACTTTTGCAGGGCTTAGTCACTGTAATACCTTGATTACAGTTAATATTTGAAATATTTCATATTGAAACATTAATTCAGAAGGTTAAGGAAATGGTTCTTAATTGAACCTAGTACAAAGTTGTAGTTCCTTGTTCATCTGACACTTTCAAATCAGAACTACTGTGCAATTCAAAACCGTAACAGCATATGAAGGGTAAAATTTATCTGAAGTATACGCTGTCTTTGATTCTCTTTGAGATGTCTCATTCACTGTTCCAAATAAAATTTACCCTTACCACAAGATTCTGTTAATACCCGATTTAATGCAACAGCAAGTAATTTCAAAGAACTCTGTGCTCATTTGAACTTTGCCTTTTTTCTTTTCTTCTCTCCTCCCCATGGTGATATTTGTCTTACAGATTCAGGATCACTGAGGTCAGTGCTTAATAAAGAATCCCATTCACCCTTTGGATTGGATTCCTTCAACCCCAGTGCGAAGGTTTCTCCACTAACCCCAAAGCTGTTTAATAGTCTCTTGTTGGGCCCAGTGACATCTAGCAACAAAGCTGAAGGCTCCAGCCTCAGAGATCTACTACACACAGGGCCAGGAAAGCTTCCTCAAGTCCCGTTAGACACGGGAATCCCCTTTCCTCCAGTCTTTTCTGCAGCTTCTACGGTAAATGATTTTTGATTCCTTCAATGATACCTGTTCTAGGGAAGAATTTAATGATAATTTAAGAGTTTTCATCTATATGTTTTTGTAGTATCTTATTCTTAAAATGTTGAAACATGGAATATCTCACCGAAACTCATCTCCCCACAAAACTGTAGGGAATTTTGATGCTGATAGTTTGTGCTTGGGTTTAATCCTGCTGGGGCGAAGCTATTCCTTGCAAGACACCAAGAAAGTGAATTAAATATAGTGTTCAAATTTGTTTAGTAGATAATCAGCATCCCTATGAAAGTTAACTTTGAATTCCACGTCTTTAAAAATGCTGCAAGAGCATACCCCAGAAAAAGCCAAAAACCTGTCAGCAAACGATTTCCTTAAAAAAAACTTATGCATACTTGAAAGGTGTTTAAAAGATAGAATACGAATTTAGGAATTTGTTGTAGTTGCCCTTTTAGTTGCCTGTTTTGGAATAAGGATACTGTGTTTCTCTTAATCTGTTGTTGAGGAAATAACCTTAAAAGAAAATCTGAATAAATCTGATACTTGGAATGGTTAAAAGCATGTAGTTTAAGAGAAGGATAGATTCTGTGAAGTTTATCAAGACTTAGCACTTCTTGGAGAATACTGAGGCAGGTAGAATGAGGAAGAAGATGAAATGGCTTGTCTCATAGGAGAATTATTTTTTCTTTTTCCCTCTGTGTCAGGCTGGAGGGATGGAACCTTAATAGCTCCTGTTGTTTGGTTTTGGTAAAGGGAGCTGTACAGCTGTGTGGGAAAATTTCACTGCTACAGGAAATTGAATCCAATAATACTTCTGTCCCCTGCCCCTTCTCATCACTGAGTACAGGGGAAGGAATTGTGATGACCTGTTTTAAAGCTAGTAATTCCCTCAATCAAGCCTTGAGAGGACCTTTCTATTGGTGTTTGTGGAGAACTCTGGTCCAGCCTGCCAGCTGAACACAAAAACATACTTGTGAAACAACAGTTGTGTTGATCAGATAGAGGGTTATAATAGACTGCTGCTCATGAAGAGAATTATCTTGGTGTTTCTGGAGCATTGAGATTCTGTTGTGAAGAGTAGTTAGCATTCAGTGTAATAAACAAGACTAATCTATGCCATGGCCCTCTAGAGGGTCAGCATAAAGGTGTATTTTTAAGACCATCGTATGCAGATGATGTTATGATCTAGTCTTACTTGTGTAAGACAGGTTGTGGAAGACTAACATAATCCCAAGCATCTGTACAGGCTGGGGTCTGACTAGCAGGGATGTTGCCCAGAGTTCTGGAGAACAGCAAGCTGAACATGAGTCAGTGCTGCACCCCTTGCAACTGCAAAGGCAAAGCTCCTGGGCTGCACCAGGGAGCATACAGCTGGAGCACATCCAGGAATGTGGTTACTTCACTCAGCACTTTTTAGGCCACACACACCTGGAAGAACAGTTGTAGAGAATATGGAGGCACATCTTTCACAGGTGGGCATGGTAACAGGACAAGAGGCAGTGGACACAAGTTGCTTCAGGGGAAATTTTATATGGATATAAGAAAAAATTCTCACTTAACATTCAAGCAGTGGAATAGGCTGCGCAGGAAGGGGATGTGATCTTTGTCCCTGAGAAGCTAAGGTGGGGCTTGACACAGCCCAGGATAACAACCAGATTTTAAGAGTTATGCAAAATGATCTATAGGTCTTTCTTCTAACCCAGGCTTTTCTATAATTTCATGAATATTTTTTACTGAACTAATATCTTCATTTATGAATAGTGCTATGTTTTAGATTGATAGGTCTGTGTATGATACGTTTTCTGTCTATTGAATTTCTGTTGTAAAGAAAATGGTAAAAGTTTTCCAATAAGAGTTTTTCACTGTTACTGGTCACTCAGTTTCCAGTCCCTGTGTGTGTCTGGGGTTTTTTTGATATGAGGGGGAGTGCGTGTGTTGGGTTTTTTTGCTAGAATGAGAAGCTCTTTGCTGCCAGAAATGTATCACACCCCTACCCCCTCCCACATATGTCTTATGAATAGTGATCCAGTTAGTGTTTATCTTCTATTGAATATCTGAAATATATTCAGTGTCTGGAGTAACTTTCTGTAGGCAAGGACTATAGTTTGGTTTGTGGTTGTTTTGTTTTGTCTTTTAAGATAAAAACACGATTTTAAGATTGTGTCATTACTTTCCAATTTTAAACATTCATTAAGGAATTTCAAATGTTCCTTGAGGAGGATGGGTGCCACAACCAGGGAGGCTGGAAGCACTTTCTCTTCTCTGTCAGTGTTTACTTAATGTTCTCATATTTGTCAGCTCATCTGTGTCAGGGAGGGTAGAATTCACTTTCTTAGTGATAGAATGAGGAAAATGGGAAAATAGAGTTGAGATATTAATGAAATTAAGAAAAATGTGAATCATTTTTACCATTAACGTAGAAGAGTTTAGATGCTCAAGTTTTCTATTCCATGAATGTTTGCTGTAATATTTTTCTAGATAGCCTGTAGCAGGTTATTTAAGTTTTGCTATTATAAATCAGGGCCATAGCTATTTCTGTTCTTACTGGATATATGCCTGTCTCTAAGCTGATTTGTTACCTGTTGCAGGTTTTTCTGATAGCAAGATGGCCTTGACTAAAATCTGAATGAGAACAGATAGGCATTAATATGTACACTGTTGCAAGACTAAACTTAAGTCTGGATTTACATCTTGTAGGGGGCCAAGGGTAAAGCTAGCCTGCCTAACTTCTTAGACCATATCATTGCCTCTGTGGTGGAAAATAAGAAGACGTCTGATGCAGCAAAACGAGCTAGTAATGTAGCTGAGACACAGCGAGAGGTGAAGGAGATGGTAATGGGCTTAAATGTGTTGGATCCACACACTTCCCACTCTTGGCTGTGTGATGGTAGACTCCTTTGCCTTCATGATCCTAGCAACAAAAACAACTGGAAGATCTTCAGGGAGTGCTGGAAACAAGGCCAGGTGGGTGATGACAAATTACTAACCCATACTGTTTATAAGTATCATGGAATTTTAACCTGTATCTTGGTTATTGACAAGTCCATTCAAACTTTGGCCAGTTGCTCTTCAGTGAATATTATTTCAACTGTAACACTAGGAACAGGGGACACAGTGTACCTGTCCCCTCCATGCTGTACTGACTCAAGCCCATGTGCTCTTGTATATTAAACTTTTCCCAGCTTACCAGTATGAGAGTGTTTGACTGTGGTGTGGTTTGTGCTGAACCTGCTCTACTACAGACCACTAGTGGATCTACTGTGATTTCCTGCATACATCCTGGTATCTACCCCATCCATGGTAGCCTCAGGGAGAGGTCCATTGCTTCTAGCTACAGTATGTTGAAGAATGGAACTGCTGCACACAGTAATTTCTACTGGAATTTTAGGTGTACTTGATGCAGTGTCTCATCCTGAGCCTACAGCCTCTGTTGAATCCAAGTATTGTTTTGAACTCAACATCTTGTGTATTGAGTGCTCTCCTGGATTGTCTTGAGGGTCCATCAAATGATTAGACCTTCAGTCAAGAGACTGACCCTTAAACATGCTGCCAGTATAGCCACTTTTTCAGGTCTCAATCCATAGTACTACAGCTTCAGACTTCTCCAGAGAGCCATTAAAATTGACCTAGTCAGACAAGCTGAATCTTTAAAACAGGGTGAGTAACTGCTGCTGCAGAGAACTCTAATAGCATGTGAAGTCCCCCTGTTTAAACTGTTCTTGGCACTGGGTTCTGCAGCTGCCTCTGACACCGTTACCTGCAGTGACTACTCAGTCGAGACCATTGGCACTAGACTGTTATGTCCCTCCTCATCTTTTCTGGAGACATCCATGTTCTCAGCTGTTCTGCTGTTACTGTGCTAATGCTGTTGGCATTCACACTCCATGCTTACTTGTGCTCATAAGATATGCACAACGCTGACATGTGGCAGAGGAACAGATCAGCCTGTATGTTTCTCTTTTGGCACTCGGAGTCCTTTCCTGCCACAGAGAGTGCTGTTCCACTGCATGTAGTGTGTCTCATGGGACTGCACGTTCTGAGTCTGCTTGGCACAAGCCTAACTACTACATAGCCATGAGAACTGCAGAGAAGACTGTGGCACCAGCCAGAGCTACCAGGTCCTGTTGCTGGCTCCCTTCGCCAGCTCCTAATAGGTGGAGAGGCTACTGTGCAGCACGCGCTCGTGTGTCTAGAAACTTAGTTTGCTGCTGGAATTGTCAGCTTTCCTCATAATTACAGCTACCTTCTTGTCCTCATTTTTTTTTGAATGCATAGGGGGTCTCTTTTGGTTTTTTGAACCTGTTAGGTCTTTCTGATTTATGAAAGATCTCAGACCATTATTCTGCAGTTCTCTGGTGTCAGTCATCTGACTGACTTGACAAAGAGCTCCTTAGCTTCTGGGCACTCTACTCACATGATTTCCTCAAGCCTCCCTGCCAGCAAATAATACTGTCTCCCTGAGGAGGATCCCAGCTGTTTTGGCAAGAGTATCAAAAGACGTGTGTCAGTTTCTCTGCAGGGGAGAGAGGTTAGTCACTAGGTGTGAGGCGCCGCATGTGGCTGTGGGGTTCTGGACCCTTAGTGAATCCTGAGAGACTCCTTATGGAGTGAAGATGTGACTTAGGTTTGTTTAGCCTGAAAAAGAGAAGACTGACAGGATCTTATCAATGCTTGTCAGTATCTAAAGGGCAGTTGTCAAGAGGATGGGGCCAGACTTTTTTTCGGTGGTGCCCAGCAACAGGACAGGGGGCAATGGGCACAAACCCGAAACTCAGGAAGTTCCATCTGAACATGAGGACAAACTTCTTTCTTTTGAGGGTCACAGAGCCCTGGAACAGGCTGCCTAGAGAGGTTGTGGAGTCATGCAATCCTGTGCAACCTGCTCTGACTGACCCTGCTGTAGCATGGAACTTGGACTCTGTGATCTCCAGAGGTGCCTTCCAAGCCCACTGCTCTGTGATTACCAGTCCTCTGTCAGATATGTAGCTTGTAGTGTGCATAGCCTTCTATGTATGTGCACACTCTGAGGCTCTGGCTACAAATGTCATGCTCATGTGAACCTCTGTTTTAGGTTTCACCCCAAGATGTCCATGATGCTTTTGGATAACTTTATCATTTAAAGTTCCCCTTTTATAGCAACAAACGTTTTCCTTGCTCATTCAAGGATTTTACAGTGGTGTTGCACTCACTTGAGTTTTCTGCTGAAATGTAGAAAGCAATCTAAATGAACCTCTCTCTTTCCTGCACGAGAGAGAACAGGTAATCCAAGCAGATGTCACTGTCTTGACAGGGCTTCTCTAAATAGAATTTCTTCAAGCAGAGGTTCTCTCAAAAAACTGTGCTCTGTCATATCTTGTACATTCCAGCTGCATCTTTAAAAGTGAACACAAAGAACACTGATTCCATTCCCATTTCATGGGCTGGAAAAGGTTAGTTGGAAAAAAACTCTTGGCTGCCCTCCCCAGCACAATAAATAATGCACTCTGGACACTAGATCTGAGCCATATGAAGATCTTAGCTATAGTAGCATCCCAAATTGTTAAAAGATAAATTTTCTTTCCCTTAATGTCTGTATAACAAATGGCACTTGTTGAGTACTTTGTCTTAGAAATTGTCAGAAACAAGCTAAACTGCTTTATACCAGAATTCACTATGAGACCATAGGATTATTTCTGAAGCTTTTCTTCAAGAGCACTTTGCTCTCCTGAACATGGTTGTTGCTCATGCAAGGATACTGTCAGGATTATCATCCTTATAGAAACCTGTTGATTTATGAATTTTCATACTAGTCTTTCTCTTTTTTTGAGATACTGAAGGTGTTGGGTGGTGATGGAGGTTTTGACTTTTTTCTGCCTGTAGTGTGAGAGCAGATCTGGCAGGAAATGTCTACCAACAAAGTCTGCTATCATTTTATCTTGCAACCGTAGCTGTGTTCTTCACTCGAGAGGACCTTTACTTCCATGAGAAATTCTCTGCTTAATATCTGGAAAGGTTCTGCTAGATTAAACAGATTTCCACACATACCCCACTCCACCCTGCCCCCATTGTTATGTTTAAGTAGTCCAGTGAATATAGCAGGGGTTGAAATTTGGCATTATTTTCCTGGATTGAGGATGACTAGTTTATCCATCAGCTTAATGTCTCCCTGGCAGCAGCTCATACCCGTCCTGTGAAGGGTACTGTTATTTTACTCCTCATCCATCATCCCTAGGTTTTTGCAGAATACGATTAAAACCTTTTCATTGCCTTAATGTTCACAGTTCCTTCTGGGATCATGGAATATATTTCAGTTTGGGATCAGTGTATCTGCTCTGTCACCTTAGGAAGCTTTGCTGCTTGTGAGGGCCTCACATCAGGGACATAATGGAAAGACTATCAAGGCTTGTCTGTCTCATTTAGCCTCTGCTGCTCTTCTATATTGGCACAAACAATACTATCGGAGAGACCTGGACGGTGTCAAGAGTGACCGTATAGCTCTGGGGCTACTCTTCAAGGCCATGGGGTCTGGGTATTTTTCTTGATTGTTATGGTGAGGGGCTAGGGGGTGGACCATCCTGCATGCCAAGCATTGATTGCATAGCTGGTTTTGACCACAGGGTTTTGAGTTCTGTCCTCATGGGAAGCTCTTTGAGGACTGAAGACTGCTTGCAAGTGCCAGGATCCATCTAAGTGGGGCAAAAGTGTCCTTACAACAGATTGGCCAACCTGATTAGGAGAGCTAGAAGCCAGGAATAGTAAGGGAGGGGAGAAGCATTATCAGTGGTCAAGAAAGAAGTTGGCTGATTGGGCTGGAAAGCAAACAATGCAGGGTGATGTGAACAGGAGAAATCTCATCCTCAAGAAAACAGAGGTGAGAGATGTCTGCCTCAAGCATACACACCTAAGTAAGGAACTGTGTACATCACAGTATTATGAGGAAAACTCTCATATAGTTTCTGGGAGATCATCATGACTTGGTGTCTTTCTGAAGTGCCTGTACACTAACACGCGTAGCACGAGGAACCAGCAGGAGGAATTGCTGTGCACTTGCATGGCTGTGTCTCACTCATGGTGGAGAGGTGGCGGGACGGCTCACGCAGCTGTAGTGTGGCAGGGGACAGGTACAGCCTGTGCAGGAGGGACAGGCATGGGAGGTGAGGAGGAAGCCTAGATGTTTTGTGAGGGAGCAACTGGAATGCGTGACGTTGCGTAGGAAGAGCCGAGTCATTTGGGAGGTTATGGGGCTGGATTAGCCAACAGACTAGTGTGGGCAGCATTGGGGCGAGTGTCTGCTACAACCAGCCCCATGAAGAGGAAGTGGTAAGGCCTTCAGATAACTGGAGGAAGCCCTTTGTTCACATTTCCGGGGCCTCATGGGGCCATCTCGATACCTGCTGGAGGAGTCACAACAGGTCACAAGCACTCCTGAAGTTTTCTGCAGCACATTGATGACAACGTCCTGGCATGGTCAATCCAGGAGCCATCTAGGGAAGGGCACACTGCTGAAGTTTATGCTTACACAAAAGAAAGAACTGGTTGTAGATGTGTGAAGGGAAGGGGCAGCTTTAGCTGTGGTCACTGTCAAGATTGTGGGGTTCAGCTCAAGATCTGGAGAGGAGTTAGCAAAGCAAAAAGACCAGATCGCAAGCCTGGGTTTCAGGAGAGCAGAATTCCATCTTTTCAGGTATCTGCTTGGAAGAAACCCATGCATATGGTCCTGAAGAGAAGAGGGGCTCAGGAATGCTGGTTGAATCATGCTTAACTTGGCTCATAGCCTTCTGTGATGACATGAATGGTTTGTTGGATGAGGGGAGAGCACTGGATGCTTTGTGTCTTAACTTTAATACGGCTTTTGATGCTCTCATAATGACATCAGATAAACTCATGAAGTACAGATTAGATAAGTGGATGGTATGTTGGATTTAAAACTGACAGAAATGCTGTGCTCAAAGGATTGTGATCGCAGGCACTAGTGGTGCAGCCTAGGGGACCAGTATTGGATTGAGTACTATTTAACATCCTCATTAATGACCTGGATGGGACAGAGGTCATACACCCCTCATGGGTCTGCAGACAATACAGAGCTGGGAGGAATGACTGATACACCAGATGAATGTGCTGCTATTCAGAGGGACCTGGACTGGCTAGAGAACTGGACTGAGAGGAATCTTGTGGTGTTCAGCAAGGGAAAGTATAAAGTCGTGCACCTCAGGAGGAATAATACCCTACAGCAGTATGTACTGGGGGACAGCCAGCTGGAAAGTAGTTTGGTCTGGAAGGACCTTGGGGTCCCAGTGGATGAGGGGGTGACTGTGAGCCAAGAACGTGTCCTCACTACAAAGGCAACAGCATCCTGGGCTGCATTAGGAAGAGCATTGTCAGCAGGCCAGAGGGGGGATCCTTCCCCTCTACTCGGAACGGGTGGAGGCCACACCTGGAGTACTGTATCCTGTTCTGGGATCCCAGTACAAGAAATATGTGGACTTACTGCAGAAAGTCCAGTGAAGGGCAACATGATTAAGAGACAGGAGCATTGTTCACGTGAAGAGACTGAGAGAGCTTGGACTGTTCATCTTAGACAAGAGAAGACTTGGGAGAGTGTGGGGAGGAAATCTTATGAATGTGTATACATACCTGATGGGGTGGAACGAGGAAGAGGGAGTCAGACTCTTCTCAGCAGTACTCTGGCAGGACAGGAGGCAGTGGGCACAAATTAAAAGCCAGGAAGTTCAACCTGAACAGAAGAAAGTGGGCTTTTTTTAATAAGGGTGGTCCCTTCCAACCCAGGTGTTTCTGTGGTATTTTATTTGTTCTTGTTTGGGGGGGTTTTGTTTGAAGTTTTTTCTTTTTGTTTTCATGTTTTGTTTTGTTTTTTTCTCCAAAGTTGACAGTAGAGTAACAGCCTCTTTTTCTTAAACCTTGCTCTTCTGGAGTTGAGGTTTCATAGCTACTTTCCAGAACTTAAGGGCTATGTTGCATTCTATTTGGAAACTAAGGCCATTTCTGTTATCCCCAAAGTTGGGGTTTTCCTTCCACTTTTGAGTTAATAGTTCTCACTTAAGGACTAAAATGGGTACTGGTCCTGTTAAGAGGCTATTGGGCAATCCAGGCGTAGCAGTGGTTAGTTACTGGAGTATCTTTAAGCAACACAGTTGTGGAGCTGCTTGTCTGTAGCTCTGTAGGTATCTTTTGGCTAAAGCACTGATACCACTAGAACATCTAGGGGCACCTGTGTTCCTCTGGACTGTACTGAGCTCTTCATGCGAATTAAAAGATGCACCTTCAGTATAGAGCACAGCTTGGGATTCATCTGGACTTGTATAAACATTTGAACTGTTATGTGAACGTAAGTAGCATTTACTAAACCTAGAATTCTTCAGGTGGGATACACCATGTGCAAGTTCACTTAATACCCTCTTTTCCTTTTCTCTAAAGTCTGGTAACGCTAGAGATTGCAGGGAGAGAGGACCTGACAAGCTCTTGGGCAGTGTTGGGAGAATTGACTGGTATACCTTCTCCTATTGTTAGTTTAGCAACTGCCTTAAGCACTTACTGGGAGAGGCCAATCAAATGTCTACAGGGTTAGCCCGAACATCTTAAAACCTCTTTTGCAAGTGAGCAGCCACTTCTCCAGAACTTGATTTGGTACTAAGAAATTAATCATGACCCATGATTATATCTAAAGAGTGAAGTAGTTCTTAAAAATCATACCAGAATATAAAAAATTTCATAGGAAGGGCTTTACTACAAATGCTGTTTCTAATGGTAGAATTTGTGCTTAAAAAAGGAGACATGGTGGGACTTGACACCTACTGTATTTTTACAGATGGATTGACCTTGGCTGGCTTACAGACACCTACCCATGCAACTCTCTTACTCCCCCTTCTCAACAGGACAGGGGGAGAAGATAAGATGGGAAATTGTGTGGGTCAAGATAAAGACAGGGTGATCGCTTGGTGATTGCCGACACCAGCAAAGCAGATAAATCTTGTGGAGAAGTTAACTTGCTGACAATTAAAAGTAGAGTAGGATGATGAGGAACAAAGACAAAACTGAAAACACCTTACTCCTCTCCTTCTTCCTAAAGGCTCCACTTTACTCCTTCATCCCCAACTCTTCCATCTCCTCACCCCGCAGAGCAGCGGGGGGGATGGAGAGTAATGGGGATTGCGGTCAGTTCATAACACTCCTCTGCTGCTCCAGTGTGGAGTCCCTTCTACAGGGTAGAATCCTTCATGAACTGCTCCAGCATGGGCCCCCTCGATGGGCTGCAGTCTTTCAGGAGCAGACTGCTCCAGCATAGGTACCCAGTGGACCACAGTTTCTCCCAGAAAACTTGCTCCTGCATGGGCTTCTCTCTAAGGGCTGCAGCTCCTGCCAGGAGCCTGCTCCAGCCTGAGCTTTCCATGGGCTGTAGGGTCCTTCAGAGCATCTCCCTCTGCTGCAGCGTGGGGTCCTTCAGGGGCTGCAGTGTGGATATCTGCTCCACTCCAGTCCACCACAGGCTGTAGGGGGGCAACCTGCTTTCACCGTGGTCTTTTTGACTGGCTGCAAGGGAATCTCTGGAGTACCTCCTTTCCTTCCTCCTTCACTGACCTTGGTGTCTGCAGACTTGTTCCTTTTCCCCTCCCTCCCTTTCACCCCCACCCCCCATCAGCTATGGCACAATTTTTTTACTCTTCTTATAATCACAGAGATGCCAGCAGTGTCAATTATGGGATCAGCTTTGGCCAGCAATGGGTCTGTTGGAGCCAGATGGTTCCATCTGTGTCCAGCACAGGGCAAGTCCCAGCCTCATCTCACAGAGCCCACCGCTGCTGCCAGCACCTTGCTATGTAGAGCTAACACACCTGCCTTGGCAAGTCTAATACAATTCCACTTCTAAGGCAACTGCATATGGCCTGGAACTGAAGTTTGCCTTGACTCTGGTTATTTGTTTGATGCACAAAAACCAGACATGGATGAAAATAGATTTGTGGTGTCTTGGTATGGTGGTAGCCAGGAGTCTCAGCTCTTAAGAAAGTTTGGCTGCATGTGTAAGAAATTTGGTTATGGTGGAGTAAGCATTCATCTTTGTATTCTCAGCCCGTGCTGGTATCTGGTGTCCATAAGAAGTTGAAGTCAGAGCTTTGGAAGCCAGAAGCTTTCAGCCTGGAATTTGGAGATCAAGATGTAGATTTGGTGAACTGCAGGAACTGTGCCATAATTTCAGACGTGAAAGTGCGTGACTTCTGGGATGGCTTTGAGATAATATCTAGTAAGTAATATCTGTGGCTGACTAGTTTAACCGAGCAGTCTGTCTTGCTGCCTTCAACTCCTCCTTTTCCACCTATTTTTCTAAAAAAAAAAAAAAAAAACAAAAAACCCCAAACGCAACAACAAAAAAATCTCTCCAAACAGCTTTCAGTCTCATCCAGAGAAGCCATTGCTCCTTAGATGTAGTGCACCCTAGAAAATACTTTACTGGTGGCGATTAGGGCAGGGTCGCCCAAAGAAAACTTCATCTGTACTATGGGGTGTTGGTGTGTATAACTTTGCTGTGTCAAAAGATGATACATCTAATGGAAAACTACTTGGGTTTTTTTTTAACTTTCCTCACTGAAATTAATCATGAGTTACCTTCATTAAGACAGTAAGTAATCTGACAATCCTTTCTCTCCTTCCAACCTCAACTTTTATTGTAAAACTGAAGGGAACCTCCAGAGCTAAAAGAGACTGAAGCTTTTGATGCTAAAACTCAGAGCTGGTGGAATACATCAATTAAGTAAAATTGATTGCAAATTATTTTAATAGTAAATCATCTGCAAGTACAAATACAAGGTTATATGTATTATGAATAGCAAAGCTCTATGCGTACCTCATGTGATAACACATTATTTAAAGCTTGAGTATTTCTTTGAAAAAACCTATCAAGTGTGGATGTGGAAGCTAACCAGTTAAAATTGCTGGGGATATGACTGGTCAGATGAAAGGGCTTCCCAAAAGCAGAGTATTCTAGTTTAGATTGTATCTATCTAGATCAGAGTGGTCTTATGTTTACAGATGTTAGAGTTGTAATGGTTCGTTGCAATGTTGCTGATGTTAGTGCTGTGTATATAACATTTTCTGTATTTATTATGTGCACATAGCTGAAACAGTGAACTATTGGATGACTTAATGGAAGGTTTGTTCCACAGCAAACTAAATGATAGATTTGTAGACCAAGAATATTCCCTTCCCTAGGGAAGGAAAAGAACTCACAGCTTTTGACTTGGTTTTGTATGGTTCCAAGTACAGAATCTTTTATTTTGTGCTGTTAAATTTCCTACTGTCTCTGTTATTACTCAGAAATAGATGGTATATCTGTATATTAATGGTAATGGGGAAACTTAACAAACTCTTCACTTTTGTGCTAGGGTCATTCTTGAAAATAGTAAATTTGTATAGGTCAAGTTATCTTTGAGAAAGTTTATTTGTAGTTTGTCCCCAGACAGATATGCTCCTTTCAGCAAAACCAGCTGCTGCCTTTCATTTAGACAGTGCTTTTACACAATCTGTATGAGAAATGTTAGTGATCTAGGTTGAAAAACCCAATCACTTTTGCTAATTACTTTTAAACACATTTTATTTAGTGTTTTTCAGCCATACATAATCTCCATTTTAGAAGAGTGTTATTTGCTACTAGTCCAGAGATTTCACACACTGTCTCATATGAAAACTGTTAGCAAATTATATGATGACCCTGACTTCTCTGCATTACATGAATTTTATATTTCTCAGATACATGGCTGGTCATTCCCCCTTGCCACTTGTATTAAGTTATTGAAGAGATGTAGAATCGCCACTGAATTTTGAGGTGGTACTGAAATAATTCCTTAATTTTTCCATACAATACCTTATTTTAGTTAATTTTAATCTTGTGCTATTTACTTTTAATGTCTTTGAGTTCTGAGTGGACTTTTGGCAGGTCTAAGTTATTGGTTTGATCCTTCTTAGACCAGCTTTTCTTTGCTGACCAGATGTTTTCTGGGTTTTGACCAGTGTCATGTAACTTGTCAGATCCATATGTTTTCCTCCAGCTCTTCACCTTGTCCTTTTTGAATGGCCTTCCTACAAGCTTCTTCTCCTTGTTTGGAAGGAAGGTCCTTGCTAAGTTGAAAATCCTGACTGCAGGAAATTCTGAAACATCTTTAAATTCAAGTCCTTGAGCTTTTTAATTCACTTGAGTCTCTAAAATCATAGCTCATCAAAATGTTTTCTTTAAATCAATTGCTTTGGTTTACGTAGCTGCAGTTCTTAATTCCTTTTAATAAAATCTTATCTTATATTGCCAATTAAAGCTGTCTTCTGTAGCCTGATGGTATAAAAGACAGATGTAATTCATAGGTCTCCAGGTCCTGGTTTCTAAGATATGCTTTTTCCTTTGATGCTCTCAGCAGCTCTGCTGGGTCTGAGTCAGGTCCATTGTTTTTTGTTTGTGTGACAAACCTTGGTAAGGTAGGAAGTGGTGAAGGATGTTACTTTCTGGGGAAGGGGGGGATGTAAACATGTCAGGCTGCTGGACACCCTGTTTTCCAGCTCATGACTTCATGTAGAGTTGTGAAGAATCAAGTAGGAGGGTGAACTTTGTTTCTCTCTAAATATGCTGTAGTTTCTAAGCTGCTCCACATACCACTTCCAGATATCTTCTCTGAGCCATTGTAACATCCAAGGCAAAGCAGCAGTTGATGTGATCCAGTGCTGTCAGATTGTACATCCACTGTGGCGTCCTTAACACCTTCCTGTGCCATCAGCTTCCTCTGTTACCAGTCAGGACCTGCACACAGCTCTTGAATCAAAGAGCAAATGTCTGAGTTTGGCACCCTGGTAATTTGAGTGCCTCCAGCAAATAATTTAAAAAGCAAGGCTGTGTTTCTCAGTAGCCACCTGCCATTTAGGTTTTTGAGTGTGGTACCATGGTTTCTTGCTTTATACTAAGATTAGGGTTGACTTCAGAGCATGAACCAATAACTTTCATTTTATAGAAGCACCACTCCTCTTGAAATGAAATACAAAACGTTTTTAGACTTTGGTAAAAGTAGTAAGGCAGATTGTTTTGGAAAGGCTTGTTTTGAAAGTTGGATAAAAGCTATTCTAGCAGTTGTGCAAGGTCTGTCAAACTTCTGCTGTTGTTAGTTACATATATCTGATTGTTAAACTGTTGTTTGCTCATACTATAATGCTTGGAAGCCCCTGTTAAAATAGGTATCTGTTTTGCTGTGCAGTGTAAGAGGTCCAGGAACAGAAGACTTACAGCTTAAATGAGGTAATCAGCTGTAGTAAAAAGACAATACATGAAGGAAATCATCATTTGTTTCTTGCAGAACGGCTCAGGTCAGATGATGGTCAGCCAATGGTACTAAAGTTAAAGGATTGGCCTCCAGGAGAGGACTTTAGAGATATGATGCCTACAAGGTAAGTAAACCTTACTATCAATGCCTACAGGACTGCTGTAGGCACTACAGGAGGAAAACATGCCTTTGTTCTTTTTTCATTCCCTAGGTTTGAGGACTTAATGGAGAATCTTCCTCTTCCTGAATACACCAAGAGGGATGGCAGACTGAATTTGGCTTCTCGGCTGCCAAGCTACTTTGTCCGTCCTGATTTGGGTCCCAAAATGTACAATGCCTATGGTATGTGAGAATAGTTCTGTAAATACTAATTTTTGTAACTGTAGAATCATAGAATGATTTGGGTTGGAAGAGACCTTAAAGATCATTTAGTCCAATCCCCTGCTGTGGCCAGGGACGCCTCCCACTAGACCAGGTTACTCAAAGCCCCATGCAACCTGGTCTTGAACACATCCAGTGATGGAGCATCCACAGCTTCCCTGGGCAACCTGTTCCAGTGTCTCACCTTTCTCAGAGTGAAGAACTTCCTAATTTCTAATCTGAATCTTCCCCTCTTCCAGTTTGAAGCCATTTCTGCTCATCACTACAAGCTCTTGTAAAAAGTCCCTCCCCTGCTTTCTTGTAGGCCCCCTTCAGATACTGGAAGGCTGCAGTGAGGTCTTCCTGAGGCCGCCTTTTGTGCAGGCTGAACAGCCCCAGCTCTCAGTCTGTCCTCACAGCAGAGGGGTTCTGTACCTCTACACCACAATTATCTTCGTGGCCCTCCTCTGGACCTGCTCAAACAGATCCATGTCCATCTTGTGTTGGAGCTGAGCACAAGAGGTCTCGTGACCTCTGACAGAGGTCTTGTGAGAGCAGAGGAGGAGAATTGTGTCCCTTGACCTGCTGGCCATGCTGCTTTTGATGCTGCTCAGGATATGACTGGGGCTTTCTGGACTGTACATGCACATTGCTGGCTCCTGTTGAGCTTTTCATCAACCAGTACCCTCGACTTTCTGCTCAGGACTTCTCTCAATCTGTACTCCATCCACCCTTTATTTTTCCTTGGGGTTGCCTTGACCCAGGTGCAGGAGCTTGCACTTGGCCTTGTTGAACTTCATGAGATTGGCATGGGCTCACCTCTCAAGCCTGTCAGGGTCCCTCTGGATGGCCTCCTGTATTATACTTGTTATTAAACTTAGAGCAGATGCAAGGCTGCAGCATGAACCAAAATTCAGTGCTCATCCTAGAGCACTTAGTCACTTTTTTAATTGTCCTGGCATCTATTCCTATGCTAGTCCTCTCTGTCAGATGTGCCCTTTTTTGCCCTGTGTTTTCCAAGGGATGTACATATAATAAGTTTGCAAACAACTTTTATTTAATACATATAATAAGGGTAATACTGATACAGGGTTCAAGGAGAAGTTGGTATATTTTTGAGACCAGTTGATACATTTGAGACAAAAATTAGACAGCTTCTGGGCACTTTGCTTTGTGTGTTTGTTTCTGACCAGAAATTCTGCGATCTTCTTAATCCCTGATTAATAACACAGACTACAGACAACATTCAAGACAAAACTGTTACTGTGTTCAGCTACCTGAATTTAATAGTTGTGCCCTATTAAGGTTGTCATTATACAGTAGGTAAATAGCATACAAATGGAGGAAGCCTTTGAACATATAGTCTGCATGGGGCTATGAAACATTAAACTTTCAAATGATTGTCAGGGCAGCAAAGTGTGGAGGATATATGAACAATCAGTGCACGTCCTATCAACTTGCATTATTTCAGTTCCTGAATGTAGTGATGTTGAGGTTATGCATGGCCAAAACCAGGTTTTGGAGACTTATAATTTAAAGCAAATTATTCTTACAAGTTCCAGCATACTTTTAAATAACAGATTGATTTGGGACTATGTACTTTCACAACTTCAAAGAAGCATAAATAACATTTAAAGTAGTTGCCCTTTGCATATACTGAAAAAACATCAAGGGACATTGATAAGGAAAAAGTTGCAGCCATCTTGCAAAGCAAGCATGTGGAAGCAAGTTTACCCTGATGTAACTCCTGTAGTTCTCCTTGAATATTGATGAGACAGGGGTGCAGGCTTTTGAGGGTTCTGCATTCCAATTATCGACATAGCTGCAGTAACAACTCAACCTGAGGACACAAAAGATTGATGAGAAGCTTTGTCATGTGAATTGTTAATGATGAGCTGAACAATAACTGCTGTGAATTCAACTGATTATGTGGATTTTACAGCTGAGTATGAGAAAATAAACTGCTGGAAGCTTATACCTGCAATTGTCCAGTGATTTGCTGCACACAGCATGATGCTTATGCCAGTTACTGCATTCTGAGTTTCTCCTGTACCTCCAAGCAAAGGAAAGCAGTGCCAAAGAATGCCTACTAACTTCATATTATAAAGCTAACTTTCCTACTACAGACTGTATAAATGACCCTCAGGGAAACAAAATTGTCAGAGAGACAAGTTCAGGCCTGATTTCTGGAATGCTCGTTTTCTCTGACTTGAGTGAACTATATTTCTACTTCTATCTCCTGCAAAATAAAAATAATGGTGATTGGCCAGCTCTTTACTTAGGCCACACATGACATGAACATTACTTCAGCTGCCCTTTGATGTTGTTTTCTGCTCCCATTACTGTATAAAGTTAGAATTCTAGAAAAATCTTTCAGGCAGGTTATTTCTGTAGAGAAGAGCTTAAATAGAATTTGATTTTATTTTGCACTTTACTATAGGCTTAATTACTGCAGAAGACAGACGAGTTGGTACCACAAACCTGCACTTGGATGTGTCTGATGCTGTTAATGTCATGGTGTACGTTGGGATTCCCATTGGGGAAGGAACCCATGATGATGGTAATGTTTGAGGAAAGCTGTTTTCTGTCCATTAAAAATCAGTCACATGTGTGAGAAAGAAGATTGTACCTTTTATTGTTTAAGCTTGTCATATCTATGATATATAACCCGAATATACAAGGCAGTTTGCTACATCTGCAGCATGTATTTAAAAATGCAGTAATGCTCATTGGTTCCCAACTGTTGAATCAGCAGAATCTTGCTAGAAATTAGAAGAAAGGAGGAGAAAGGGTGATAAGTTACTCTTCTCCTTGTGTTTGAATAATTGTAGTTAGTTCAGTTTGAATTAATGACTGACTTTTGTGGAGAGCTGTCAATTGATACAATTCCTGAATTTTGTACAGTAGCTTGATGTGCTTAGAAAGGACACTGTATAGTGAGGCAGTTGCAGTGTCAGTGTGGCTGGCTTTAGCAGCTCAGAATGGTCCTTCCTCTTCTCTATATCAAAAATGAGCAGCTTTGTAATCATGCCACTTTTATGTGGATTCACCTTTCAGAGGTTCTGAAAACAATTGATGAGGGAGATGCTGATGATGTAACAAAGCAGCGGATCCATGAAGGAAGAGAGAAACCTGGAGCATTGTGGCACATCTATGCTGCCAAGGATGCTGAAAAGATACGGGAACTCCTCCGGAAGGTATGGTGGTTTACAAAAGAGGCTCGTGCCCACAGGATTCCTTGACTACCTTGCTTGCAGCAGCTGAATGATACAAACTGCTATCAACATCAAGTGCATAGGTATTCTAATGCTGTCTTTGAGGACATTCCTAGTTATTTTGTTCCCATGGTTTCTGCCTGGTCTAGAATCATAGAATCATTGAATCATTAAGGTTGAAAAAGACCTCTAAGATCATCAGGCTGTCAGCCCAACACTACCATGACAACTAAACCACGCCCTGAAGTGCCACGTCTACACGTTTTTTAAATACCTCCAGGGATAGTGACTCCACCACTTGCCTGAGCAGCCTGTTCCAGTGCCTCATCACTCTTTTAGTGAAGAAGTTCTTGGTAATACTCAATCTAAACTTCCCCTGGTGCAACTTGAGCCCATTTCCTCTAGTCCTGTCTCTAGTTACTTGGGAGAAGAGACCAGCACCCACCTCACTACAACCTCCTTTCAGGGAGTTGTAGAGAGCAATAAGGTCTCCCCTCAGTCTCCTCCAGACTAAATAGTCCTGGTTCCCTCAGCTGCTTGTCATAAGATGTGTTTCTTAGACCCCTCACCAGCTTTGTTGTCCTTCTCTAGGCCCTCTCCAGCACCTCAATGTCTTTCTAATTCTGTGGCACCCAAAACTGTGATCTCACCAGTCCATCCAAGTCCAGGGGCATGATTGCTTCCCTATTCCTGCTGCTCTCCCTGTTCTT